GCGCTTACTCTAATGCTTTCATATGCCTCTTAGCACTACATGTTAAAAATAAAAAGTAAACAAAGAAGCTCATGTAACAAATTTGAGATGGAAAAAAAAATGTACAAAATGATGTAAAAATAAACTATTATATTATTTAAAAAAAATTTATCTTTTTGTTTGTTTGTTTATTCATACAAGAACTGGGGTGTGGGGCTAGAAGTTTAGGGAGGTAAGAAGATTCACCAGAGACAGAGTAGGAAGCAGAACAGGCAGATCTGCTGACATATACTGCTAGGGGAGCAGCAGGCCAGACAGGAGAGGTCTGCTGTGCCATGTTGGTCAGCTCCATAGCTTTGGATCGAACTCATGCCCAAGTGACTGTGAATAGCTTCATAGAACTGAGACTCACCCCTTGTGCCACCAGGGAGGCCCCTTTCAGAAACTCTTGATCTCAGAGCTAAAGCTACATTGGGAATTGCAAACCCATATGCACTCAGGGGACAAGAAGCAAGGATAAATATGTACTATAAGGAATTAGCCTGCTAGTTCCTTCAAAAGATAAATTTTAAAAAAAAGTCTACTGGCCTAACAAGAGTCTATATGGTAAATTACAACTCCAGTGTCAGGGCTTGACCCAGATCATATGCAACCTATGAGTGTGGCACTGGCTAATGGGTGGGGGTGGGATTGCCCAGGACTCTAATCATAGCTGACTTGCATCAAGTCCAGGGAGAGGAATGGAATTCAGGAGCTGCCTGTAAGATACTGGGGAAATTCAGTCATGAACACACATCTTGTTGGAATCCCATTAGATTTTTTTCCTTTGAAGCCCTGTCCTGCCATAGTATCATCTTGTGCTGAAAAAGAAAACAAAAAGCTTTTTCTCTATAGGCAACTGTACAGTCAAAGGAGTAGTGTACTTTCATGTTACAAACTCACTCAACAGAAAAACTGACCTAGACCAGCCAACCAAAAAGAATGTACAAAAAGATCCAAGAGCTCAAGATCACAATAAAACATAATCCTTGCAAACAAATGAACAAAAAAAAGACAATCAAAAACAATTTTCTTAATCTCTCCTCTTGGCACAATAATTATGAAACTGAAGATAAATGGTTAAAGTATTATCCAAATCTAAGAGAACACAAAAAGGGAAGAGCAGATTGCCTAACTCCCTCTGAGGCGTGTTTTTACAGAGGCAGCTTATCTGACAGACTGTGCCCAGAAGCGAACAAGTCTGGGCTGATCTCAGTGCTGGCCTGAGACAAGAATGCAGAGGCGGAAAGGAGTCTCCAGATGGAGGGCCACACCAACAGGCATGCAAAACTCCAGTTATCAAAACAAAAGCCTCTTAATACTTCTTCATGTATGAGTTGCCCAATACCTAGCCAATGAATTTCAGCCAAGTCCATGTTTCTTTGCCCACGTTTTAGCCAATATATTTAACTCCCTTTTCCTCAACACCTATTCCTAAAAATCTTTATTATCTTTCTTAAACAGGGAGGTTGACTTGAGTTTATCTCCTGTTTTCAAGAGAGTTGATGCACAATAAAACTGATTTCTTTTTTTTTTTT